GGAGCCAAGATGGAGGCCTGCAAAGCTGTACTCTGGGCTTGGCAGAACCACCACATCAATTTATCGAGTATTAGAAATAGTTGTTACTGCAGGTCAGGGATACAGATTTCTTATGTGGAAAAGGAAAATGCTTTTCAGTATTTTAACACAAATATTAACATGAATAGTGGGTTTATTCATAACTGTGCATGTGTAAGTCCTGCAGCAAGTTTATTTAGGGTAACCTTCTGCAGTTCTAATTCCAGCTCTGGGCCACCAAAGCCTGGACAGTGGTGCTAAGGGGCCCTCCCTCTTAGTTTGAAGGTACCTGAAATTGTTTAGACTCAACTCTTCCATCTTCTCTATCCTCTGATGGATTTTCTTTCTAAGGATTCAAGAAGAAAACACTGACAATACCATTGGAAATAACAAAAAAATCCCCCACATTACTTGTACATTACAGGTACTTGGATTCTTCCTTCTTTTAAAAGAGTAACATCTGCACTGAGGGAAATGCCTTTGCATCTATATGAATGCTAAGCTGTCTGCCTGTCCATATAAATTTATTTTAAATTGTTTAAAATTAGTTGTTGCTAACTAGTTTTAAATTAATACAGTGCATTGCTTGCACTGTAATTTCCTCTCCAATTGCAAAACACTGCAACTAAAGAGCCTATCATAAATTTCTCCACTTAATGTTAAGCCTCTAGATACACACTCAGACTCCAAAAAAGGAAGGTTCTTGTAGCATTTTCCCTGCCCCGTGTCTGTTCCAGTTCCTCACCAGAGCCCTGCGCTCCCAGGAGCGCTGCTGGAGCAGCCTTTCCCAGGGTGCACCCACATCTGCTCACCTGTCAGTCTTGCTCCGTGCGTTATGGACTCTCCCCTCCCAAGACCCGACACTGGCATCTCGTGGCCTGCAAGTTCAGCAGCTGGAGATGTGGGTAAGGCTGTAGGTCTGTGAACATCTGAAAGTGGGGGGAGGTTGCCAGCAAATGAAGTGCAGCTGGCAATCCAGTGGTTGGTTGTGAAGAAGAGATTACTCGATTTGCTTTTTCCTTGACTAAAACTTCAGAACAATGTCTGCTTTCAGACCTGCAAGGCCATTGAGAGCTCACTCACATAATTCTACTAAAAGCTAAGTGGTCTTTCTGTAACAAGACACTTTAATAAATGTGCCACTTATATGTGGCAGTTTATCAAGAAGCAAGGTTGAAGGGATGAATGTAGTATTACTGATGGGAACAATTCTCTCTTCAGAGGTTCCAGAAACTTCCTGTGTTTCAGCTCAAGCACTTATGAAATCATACATCTTCATATTTTTGATCATTACTTCCACTGTTTAATGTAACTCATTGTGTAAAGGAAATTAAACACTAGATCATTGGATTATACATTTATTTCAATATTTCACATTTTTTGCAAGGATCTTTCAGAAGCAGCAAGTTCTAAGGTCTACTGATAACCCACCATTTTCTGCAGAAACTTGTTTTTATTTTTAATTCACCCCATCAGTTTCAAAGATGATCCAAATCACTTCAAGCTGAGACTGTCTTGATTCTGCAACTGCAAGCTGTCATCAACCAAATTAATCTCTGCTTTATTCCCTTTGTATTTAACAGCAAGTGATTCACCACCCCATCTATTTTATTGGTGTGGAGAATCTGGAAGATTCTTCTACTGGTGAGGATGAAAATGTAAAACTTGTTAAATCATTTCAGTGCTAGTCATTTGAATGGCTACATAGAGTGATACATAGAGAGAAAGACTGCTTTCTTTTCTGGGTTTTCCTGCACACTTTGTGTTAGCTCTTGTTCATTTGGTTGATGAAAGCTCTTAGCAAAGCAGATATCTGTCCAAACTTTACTTCTAAGACAATTTTCATACTTGAGTGGAATGACAACCAGAAGTAGCTGCTGTTTATTTTGGGAGGAAAGGATTAAACCAGAAGTTTCCACACAAATGTAGAACAGAAACATTTGGAATAAGGCGTTGCTGTCAAAGGGTTATCAACAACACAGGTTTCTAGATAGAGTTTAAAAAAAAAATCAGATTGTTTCTATTTATACCTGCCTTTGCCTTGGTAACCAGAGACTGTGTGAGGGATGCAGTATTTTCCCATCATGGATGTCTCCAAAATCCATGCGCAGACATGCGGTGCATCCAGTGTCTGCAGAGCTATCGCAAGAAGTGTCACTTTCATTTCTAAGAGAGGATTTTGCATGCTAAGCAGCAAAGTGAAGATTGCAGAAAGAGAGTTATATTAGTATAGATTCAAAATAATTTGTACTCATTTCTATCTCACCTACTTTGTTCTTTGATCTTTTAAGTATTTCAAGGACCATTGCGCTTAAACACTTTTTCTTAATTACCCCAAGCAGCTTACCCAAATCCGAAGTGGCAGGATTTACTCATAATTGGCTACATTATGCCTGCTTTATCAAGTAGTTGAATGAGGTAAGAATGGATTTGAAATCGGTGTTTTTTCATGCTTTAAATCATTCCGCTTACCTTAAAATCAGCTGTTTCCTACTTCACAAGATTACCTGCAGCTTAGGTGTCCTTACAGCCCTCTGCAGTGCTCAAAAGCCAAACCAGGCTATGTTCTCACCACTTCATTGCTATGCTGAGCTTTAGTCCTGCTGGGAGAAAGCATTTCAGCTCTGGGCATCTTTTTTAGCCGTAGTTCTGTGTTGTTTTGTTTTCCTTATCCTTTACTGTCAAGAAAGGTAAAAGAAACCAAGCGTGTCTCTCTGCCACTATAAAATCCAGGTACTCTATTTTCTTAGAAAATGGATGTGGGAAGGTGAAGAGAAGGTAAATATAGGCTCAGAATGAATATGGGGAATCAGGGCCCTCATTAAACTTCTAGTGGACTTGCTTCTCCCTTAATAGCTTCACTATCCAGTTATGATCTGGAAGGTAATTTCTGATCTTCTGGCTAAGGCTCGAGGAAGTCAGTGCCAGAGCAACTTTATCAGGGAAGAAGGGGAAATATTTCTGGGAAGCAGGGCAGGATTGGTAGAGAACCTGCTGCACTCCAGAGATATTCAGGGATATCTGACTAACAAAATCACATTACTGGGATAAAAGCACTCACTGCATTATCATCTTTGGGAACAATACATTTTCACATGCAGCCTTTTTTTTACTCTAGTTGCTATTCAGCCACTTGGTCTTATGAAATCCTGCAGGGGAAGAAAACTCATCTGGGGGCAGAAAGGAGGCAGTTGGGAGCACTGGAGCCCTGCTACTCCTCCATATTCTGGTTGGAGATCCCAGGGCTGGCATGTGGTACAGGAGGTGGAGGTGAAAGCTTTGTACCATTTGGGAGTTTCCCCCTATTTGCCTGCTGGTGTAGTTTAGGCAGAGTGTAGGTGACTCAAAAAGTCATTCAAACAGAGTTCTCATTTCAAAGGTAATTCTCTCATTGCTTTTCCCACACCGCTGATATAAATAATTAAAAAAAAAAAAATTATCGAGATAATAGCACAAGCAATTTCAAACTCTCAAAAGCAGGAATAGTGGCAAAGGACCAGCACTTTAGGACATAAAACCACAGAAAACTGAATCATCACACATGTTCTGGCATATTTATAGGGAGAAGTCTGAGTTGCCATAAGACAAGTATGGACTGGTTTGGGACTAGTGAAATTTTGGGTTCCATTCTCCTACAGTAGCAGAACCTTAAAAATAAGCTTTACTTTCTGCTACCCCTGTGCAACCTCTAATGATCCTCCACAGAGGTTTTAATGAATCTTGAGCCACTCTGTTGAAACTGACAGCTTTTAGATGTAACCACATTTGCCTTTGTCTGCCAGAGAGATTTGCTGGTCCCTATGGGAAAGACAGGGAAGGTTTTCTGGAGCTGGTTACGGTCCCCAGCTTCGAGGGGCCAGCCTTACCCCATCGGTGGTGTCACCGGGAGCTGCCAGGGCACAGAGCCACGAGAGATGGGGCAGAGAAGATGTGTCGCCTGCCCCTGCTGCCCCACGCTCCTCTCAGGGGCTGAGGAGCGTGGCTGCAGGCACTGCGCCTTTCTGTGGGGGACCTGCAGCAGTGTCTCCAGACAGCCAGAGCAAGAGTGCCGCCAGGACCCTTCCCTGGCTGTCCCCTGGCCTTTAGCAGTCTTTGGAGCTAGTTCAAGTAACGCAGGAGAGGAGCACTGTGTTGTTTTGCCAAACAAGAGATTAAATGGAGCCAAAGGTGAAGAGAAGCCCATGCACAAAGCGGCGGGGAGCGTTCCGCCACACGGCCGGGCGAGAGCTGCCTCGGCTGTGCTGCCTTGGTCAGTGCTCGACTGAGATGCAGAACCGCAGTGTTTCTGCGCGGGTTGCCCAGCGCTTGAGGGAGCGCTTCCAGGCTGCGATGAGCACTTGCAGAGATAATATTCTCCGTGACAGAAATGGAGGACGAAGCTTCCTGGGCTGCACAAATGCTTTTCCCCGGCACTGACTTCAAACCCCCCGAAGCAAAAGCTAGAGGCTGGCACCACAGGGAGGCTGCGGGGACAGCTGACAATGTCCCAGGGGGCGTGGGACCGTTCTTCCCGTAGCTTTCCGTGCGGCAGTGGCTGTGAGCAGCCAGGAGCCCCTCCGGGCCCCGGCCTCCCGCAGGAGGCAGCGCGGCGCTTCTCCCCTCGGGCCGCCCCGGGGCTCTCCCCGGGCACGGCCCCTCTCCCGCCTTTGCCCCTGTTCCTGCCGCGGCCGCGGGGCAGGAGCGCTCCGGGGACCTTCCAGCCCAGCCCAGCCCAGCCCAGCCCAGCGCTGCGTACCCGGGACGACCGCCTTGGCTGGGCCGCTGAGCGCCGCCGTTCCCCGCGGAGAGGCCGCGCCCGGCCCTGGCTGAGGCGGCGGGGGCCGGGCCGGGCACTGCGCGGCGGCCCCGGGGCTGCGGCGCGGGCGGAGCGGGCGGGCCGGGCCCGAGCGGGGGGCCGGGCCTGTCCCGCGGCGGCCCCGGGCCTCTCCCTGCCCGCAGCGCGGGGCAGCTCGGGCACGGCCTTGCCGGCGGCGAGGCCGCGGTGAGCTGGGGCCCGGGGCGCGGCGGCCGGCGGAGGGATGGCCCTGCTGCCCTACGAGGAGGGAGGCGGCTGGGCAGCGCGGCAGCTGCACAGCCCTTCGGCCACCTTCCACTTCGCCAGCCGCACCATCCACCTCCAGCAGGACTGGCGGCGGCTGGGGGTAGCGGCCGTGGTCTGGGACGCGGTAGGTGTTCATGGCAAGCGCAGCTTTTCTGCACTCGGTGGCTTCCTATGCCTCTCGCCGAGCTTTCAGATTCACCATAGAAAAGTATTATTTACCGTAGAATTGTAAAGGGAAGGCTTTAAATTTTATTAATCAATTAATAAATTAATTAATAAATTTTAATGTTAGGAAAGCAAATGTTAAGCTGTGCTTTACTTTTCCCTCTTCCCCCATAAGAGATCCTGCAGGAACGCAAGGGAGACGTGCAACCTAAACCCTGCACAGCCAGTGCCCGGTGCAGGAAATATTCTGGGTAACTCTCAACTCTTTCTTTACGGTGGCTGGTGATGTTCGCTTGGCACCCTTCAGAGCACAGCATGGATCCCACCGCTTGTAGCCTCAAGCAGGATTGCTGATAGACTTTATCTTGGGGATAAGAAGCATCCAAAAGAGAGGAATTTGTGGTCGGCCCAAGGCTGCAGGGCAGTTGCTCACAGCATCATTGTAGGAATCCAAGGGCTTCCCATCGGGTTGGATCTCAGTCTACACATACTGAATTTTTACCTCTAGTTTAAAAGAAGGACTGTAGCATTTTTTGCAAACTTCTCGAATTAATTGGTATACAGGGTTGCTGATCTTTCTGGACATCAACTTTGACAGAACTTGCTGGGGGAGAGTTTCTTATCAAGATTTATATTACATATAACATGCTAGATTCAACCAGTGAGAAGTGTCATTAGTTTACTTTCTCTCTTTCCTGAGGGCATACCAGTGTTGTGCAGAAACCATTTGAAATACTGTGCAAGATACTAAGAAACCTTATTCTGGACTTTTGCAATACTTTGTTCATTTGCTTGGCAATCCCTCAGTTTCTCCTTTCCAAATAGAACTTTTTCAACCTTCTGTTATGTTTGGGGATTCATGGAGCAGTTACCACATCCAAGTTGTAACCTCTGTGGTTCTTTTTTCCTTTGGCCAGTAGGAGCCTTCCATAAAACTCAATAAAAACCTTCCATAAAGAATAAAAAGACTACATGTGCACACAGGAGGTGGAGAAGGGCTGAACAAAGTCTTGCTGCAGACCTGAAGCACCTGACCCTTCCCATAACCTTCTCTCTCAGGTTAAACCAGAAACCCCGTGTTCAGTATGACTGAAACCCTGTGCTTAACCGCCCTTGTCTCCTGGCTTAGGCTGTTGTCCTGTGTGCTTATCTGGAGATGGAAAGCATTGATCTGAAGGATCGGTCTGTGATCGAGCTGGGAGCTGGAACTGGATTGCTGGGAATAGTGGTCACATTACTAGGTAAGGGCTCTTTTGTTGTCTCATTTAAAGCAAATTGCAACTGTAGTAAAACTAGCTCTTTCACTTGGACATGCCTGGTACAGAAGTGAGCACCTAAGCTGCATGCATGAACTGTGATGGTTCTTCTCTGAGTCATCTTACTTCCTTGTTAGACTTGAGAGCCTGCTGTGATATTTGTTGTAGTGATGGTGCCACTGCAGTTTATGGCGGGACCCTGTTGAGCTGACGCCTGTTGCCATGGTAGGCAGCTCAGCAGAATTCAGCTCTGCAGCTATTCCCCTCCAGGGAACAAGAGCTGTGCTTCCCTTCTTCTACTTGTCCTCCCATGCAGATAAAGCTACAGACAGAAACCACTCTCCAGGCTTGCATAAGCCTTTTGTTAGTCTGTCTTGCAGACAGGGCATGGAGAAATGAAGTGATTTGCTGCTGATCTGTCTGTAGCTGAAGCAGGAACTGGGTACTGTGTTAAATGTGTGCTATCTTTCCCAGATTAACTTGGTAATTCAAAGCTCTAGTGGCTGTTAAAGGTGCCTATTGAAATCATAGAAACAGTTTGACAAAATACAGTCATGCCATGCAAAATCATACAGGCATAACTTTTGTCTGACCAGTGGAAGAGGCTCTCTAGCTGCCTCTCTCCTACAAAAAAATATGGAATTGGAGTAGGTTAATTGTAACACCCCCTGTAATTTATTCTTTTGTCACATATGGAAGGGCCAAAAGTAACTCCTTGACTTTCATGCATTAAGAAAAAGCACCAGAAAACATGTTTTTTTCCCTACCCAACTTAATCTTCACGTAGAGTACACTTTATATTCTTAAGTGACTGCTGAAGGCTGGGATGTCTGTAGACAGGGGGTTTTGCTTGTTTTGTTTGTTTTGTTTGTTTGTTTTTAATCAGGCAGCTCAGGGGAGCTGTTAATGTTTAACAGGAATTAAGGAGCCTGCTGGAGTTAGAGCACTGTATTCCATTTGCTGTCTTGAGGGACATGGACTGTGAGTGTGAGCCATGTCCTCCTGTCCCCTTAGGTGCCCGTGTTACCATCACAGACAGGGCAGCAGCACTGGAGTTCCTGGAGTCAAATGTGCAGGCGAACTTACCCCCTGAACTACGTCCCAGAGCGGTGGTGAAGGAGCTGACGTGGGGAAAAGACCTGGATAATTTCCCTCCAGGAGCATTTGACTTTGTCCTGGGTGCAGACATTGTTTATCTGGAAGAAACATTTGCAGAACTGCTTCAGACGCTGGAGCACCTGTGCTCAGAGCGAACAGTGATTCTTCTTTCCTGTCGTATCCGCTATGAGCGGGATCTCAAGTTCTTGAAGATGCTGAGAGAGCGTTTCTCTGTATCCGAGGTCCATTATGATTCCAGTAAGGATGTTCATATCTACAAAGCACAGAGGGGTAGTCGCAAGGATGACTTTTGACTCTCTGCTTTGTTAATAATAAGCCAGTGATGCTGTTCAATTCCCCCCTTTGTTTCTACTCAATACACTTGTTCCTAAGCATGAAGTTGCAGTTGTGTTATTTCACTGGCTTCTTGTTCTGATGGTCATGTCTGATCACTGGGTCTGATACAGCAAGGATTGTACTTCTGTTCTGAATACTGAACCTCTCCTTCCTTTCTGAATAGAGCCGTATAGGGTGTTCCACCGTCTTTTTATCAAATGTAATTTTTGAAACTGATTCAAGTTGCAGAAATCTCCAGCATCAAAATTGTTATATCAAATGTTATATCCAGCATCTGAAATCAAAGCATATTTAACTTCTGGGGGAAACTTATAGACATTACAGTGGGTTTTTTTCCCTTTATCACTTTCGTAACTCTAGGAAAGTAAGAATGGATGAAATGAAAGCTAATGCTCCAGCTCTAAATTCTTTAATTCTTCAGGACTTCTGTATCTTAGAAGTTGTGGTAAAAGAAACCACTTAAAAGGCAAAAAGAACCAAAGGCAGATGCTATGAAGTTGTTCTATTGTTGTCACTGCTGTGTTGAGGAGACACAGTGAAACAAAGAACAAAATCTGTAGGGGTCTGGGAACAGGGATTGCCAAGTAAGCCAACTTAGAAATCAGTGGTATTTTTACCTGACTTGCAAGCAAGTGGGCTACGCCTGCAGTACTGAAGCAGTTGTGGTTTCTGAGTTGTCCCTAACAAGTCTGCCTCACACAGATCAAGGCTCCCTGGAGGAGATACACATGCACATGTGCCGCCAAAAAAGTGCAACAAGGAGACTCAAGCTGTTCTTAAAATATCAGATCAGCCCTTGACTCTCAAAGTACCGCTAGATAATGTTCTACTTTGTGCCTTTGCTTGTGCTCCCTCTGTCTCTGAGAGCTGTTATTTAGGAAAGGAGGGTGCTCTGTAAAGTCTTTGTAGCAGGGGAAGTACTTACTCTTGCATTACTTGGGACCTTGGGGCAGTGTCTGGGTTTCAGTGTGTTTTCAGTGCACAGTGGTAGTTAAGACAGTTTTAAGTAACAGGTATCATACCTTGAGCTTCTAAAACACATCTGTGTGTTTATCCCACAAGATCCGGGAGTCCAGCTCACACCAGCAGCAGACTTCCTTCTCTTTCTAGTGGTGGAAGAATGAAACTGATTAAAACAATGGGCTAACAGAAGACAGCTACACCTCTGAATGCAGGAATTGCTTTACTAACATTTTTTAAAAAATTTGTGTGGATGTGGAACTTTTTTTGTGATAAACTTAAAAAGCCTCAGCTCAGGCTTAGACGTTGGGCATGTGCATGTATTTGGCACTAGCAAGAGCAAACACCTTTGCACAACAAAGCAGCAGCAGCTTTGGGTTATGGACATTTTGGAAGTTTTTGTCACTTTTGCTCCCATCCTACTTCCTGGTCGGTGGTCCAGAACTGCTGTGCTGACTGTAATGTGGAAACGACACATTTATCATTAAGGTTTGTGCTTCATCCCTGGCACATTTCTTGCATGTTTGCAGCGAAGTTCCTTGCTTGGCTACGGACCCCGCCTGGGTGTTGCTGCTCTGAAACACTTGCTGTAACAGTATCCTCAGAAGCCACATGGTGTCACTAAAACAGTAGTTAGGCAGCTGGCTGGGAATTCGCAGCCGGAAAATGGAGTTGGAGTCAGTTTGAGGGAAGGAAAACAACACCTTTAGTTGAAAACAGATCATGAGATGAGCTCTCATGTGTCAGGCGTAGCTTCTTGTGTCTTATCAGCTGGGTGAGCAGTGTTTGAAAAGAATTATGAGCTCTCCCCCATCTCTCTGGCTCTAGGTTTCCAAGTGTGGCTGTAAGTTCTCACCTCTTCTCTTCCTTTTCCTCCCCACTGGTGTTTCCTGGTCTCCAAGCTCTTCTGGGCTCATGTGTAGCTCAGGCTCCCCTTGGGCTGAGCTGGCAGAAAGCAGTGTGCTGGTACCTGGGCTTGTGAGTGCCCAAGGGAACTTTTTTGTGGGAAAAGCCTGGTGGTGCTGGGCCCTCACAAGAGGCTGGAGCTGGCAGCACTGACAGCCATAGCAGCTTGCACTGTTGCCATAGCAGGAACACGCTAAAAAGCCTGCTTAAATAGCACAGAATAAAGCACAAAGTAAAGGCTGGTGCAGCAACCTGCACACATCTAAGAAGGGGGTTTTGCCCCAGGCCTTGCTTTGACGGTAGAAACAATTTTGTACTTTTAAAACAAATCAGTTTAATTCCATCTCTTTCTAATTAAGTTTTCAGTGTGTCAGATTTCCCACTGCTGCTGTTACAGCCCACAGTCATCCTGCCAGCGCAGGCATGTGCCAGTAGAGACCAGGCTTGGCTTCTCTGGCTGTGCTGCTGTTACACAGCAGCTGTAGGTACACCCAAGGGAGTATGTTTGAAGGCTGAAGTGATGCTACTGCCCAGAAATAATTGTGGAGAAAAGCATGAGATGACACTGGCAGCTCAGGTGAGTGCCTTGCCCCTGACCACCAGCTCTTGGTGGCGCCTCCCCAGCTCAGCAAGTGACACCCCCCAAGAGGATACTTGCTCCTCTGACTGCTACTGGGGGGCAGGTGATGTTAGATTTAGACCAGATCCAGAAATACTGCAGTTAGACCACAACCATGTGCATGCCTGTTGTGGTTGCATTTAAAGCTTCAATGTTTAGGGGCAGGCAGCGAGAATGTAAGTCAGCTGAAACCCACAGTCCATCCCCCCGGGCAGTGCTGACACCCATGTGCACCAGGCAGCGAGCGCTGCCTTCTGTTGTCCATGTTGGGCTTCACAAGTTTTCTGTATTCCCATCACACCTTGAGGGAGAGGTCAGGAGTGAGTCAGGCCGTGAGCAGGCGTGCAGGACAAGTAGCAGAGGTGTAACTGCTGGTGAGTGAGCACAGGGAGCAGCCCTCTGCAGTGACACCTGCAAACTCAGGTGTCCCAACCCAGGGTCCCATGTGAGCTCCTGCTCTAGTATGAGATGCTGCTGTTGCTGTTTGGCCATCATACTGACACCCTGGCCAAGCACTTTCTGTCACCCTGTTCATCCCAGCACTCCATCCCACAGAGAATCCCACTCTCCTTCAGCTGGTTCCATTGCACGATCCTGTTTTCTAACATGATCTGAGCTCACCTGTAGAAGGACGTGTTTGGCATGCATCCCTGAGTAGCAGGGCAATGCACAAGTAAGTTTCTTCAGAAATCCACTTGCTCTAGGGAGTGGGTCCCAGCCACAGGAAAGTGACCACGTAAGACACAACGATGCTGTGATAATGAGGAACCATCCCTGAAACATGCGAAGGAGAACAAGCTTTTCTGAAGTATCATTGCAACCAAGGTTATGTTTGATTGATATTAAGACAAACAGCTGACTACACAGGGATCTGTGTTACCCAGTCCTTTTCAGTGCAAAGTTTAAGCCAAACTGCATTTTTATCTCAGGGACTAACCCCTGTTTGGGATTCTCTCTCATTACTGTAGATTTTTCTCAGCAAAAACGTGAATGGCACTATAAAAACTAGAAAATCCCAGCTGTAATGAGCTGACCTTACTGCTTCCTCTTGATTTCACTGGAGGTGTGTTTACCTCAGAGCTGAGTTTGTTCTCCTGGCTTCCATCCCTGTGTTTGGATCCAGCCTTGCAGATTACATAATAGGGTTGTGATCCTTGCAGTGTTGGCTGCCTTCTGTTTCTGTTCTGTTCTAAAGACCTGTAGTACATAGTTTACAGGAATGCTTGAAAGTGAGACATGCAGCATATTTAAACTGTGAAAGGCATAAGTGTTTCAAACATTATTAAACAACAGAACTGCCACCAGAATGGATATTGGAAAGCAGGTTTAAAAATATCAGGAGGAAGAGAAACTTTGTTTTTCAGGACTTAACCTCTGACTAATTCAATGATGATAAAAAAGCCTTCTCTTTGGGGAGAATACTTTATGAATACTTAGGACAGGGCACAGATTGAGAGGATACCACAGACTGCTCAATATATGCCTTTTCCCATATTCCTCTAGCTAGCATTTGCCACTAAATTAAATTAGTGTAAATGGAACATCCTGCTCAAAAAAGAGACTTTGTAGAGTTTTTTAAAGCATGTTTATGTGACTGCACATAAATGTTTGTGTAAAAAGGGAGTTATGACAGTTTATACCACAAAGGTTACAGTAAGAAAAAGCACTTCTTTATGACAATAATTCACAAATTCACAAGAATCACTTTAATATACAAAGCAATTACTACCATTCTGAAACACAAAGCAGCTAATATGTACATAGTGTTAATAAAATGCATTATAACCCAGTACATTTTTAAAACACAGATAAAGCACAAAAAAAAAAAAAGAAAAAAAAAAGAAAGAAAACAACACAACAGGGATGTTTCTAGATTTTCGGGGAGATGAAAAAAGCATTTATTTTCCCCCAATGCTGGATCTTCATTTAGTCTTTTAACTTCCACAAGTATGTGGGAGTCAAGCTCAAATACCCTGTTCTGTACTGACATGGTTTGGGTAAAGAATCAGAAATGCAGATGAGGTGAACATACTCTTTCCAGCTTACACTACAAAGGGAGAATAATAACCTTCGCTCTGGAAGCTTCCCTGAAAAACATTGTTTGAAAACAATTTCAAATGATAAATCCAGAGTAGAAACAACTAATTTCTGAAGTGAACAACCAATTTGTGGACAAAAGTCTGTGGAGGGGTTGGCTGCCAACTAGCACCTCTTCTTGCCCTGTTCAAATCCCAAGAAGTCCATTTTAAGCAGCACAGTTTCAAATCTCATATAAGCTTGAAGTTGTAGAACTTTTTAAAATTAGTATTTTAATATAAATAAATGTAATTAAACACACACAAAATGGAGTGGCACCTGGATAAAACACAACTTGTGGAGAGCACCCAAACATCCTTAATTATTAAGAGTGGCCATTTCCAGATCAGCAACTGGCTCAAGGCCTGTCCCCATGCTCTCACTCAGCTATCCCCTAATTTAGAGAAACAAACAGCTGAGGCCGAGTGAACTGCTCAAGTCCTGAGTGCAGTGACTGCTCAGCTTATAGACTGTGCCAGCCATGGCTCACT